GGAGGGAGCAGCAACTACCTTCAATTAGCTCCCATATTCCTGCCATTACACCTGCACAGACGTGAGGGAAGAACTTAATGCATGCGCCCACTATATAACAAACAAGCCAAGAACAATTGATACCTTAGTTGGGCATCGGCATCCCTCAAACAAATGTAGAGTCAGGGTAGGGTGAGGCAAAACCTACTGCTGACTGCTACACAGCTACATTTAAGGACTGAGAAGTGATTAGCCTCACCTGCTGACAATCAATGATTGCAGGGTGTGGCTAAACTAGAGTGGGGAGGGAACGCTACCCATCACATATGCATCAGTGTCAATCACACTGTGGACTCGAATATCACTGCCAGTTAAACACAGCCATGCAAGCGTTTGCTAATACTGCTATTTTTTCCAGTTAATAGCTGTAGCAATCGGCAGCAGGAATATAGGCATTTTATCTGTAGTCTCCAGTTTTTCAAGCACAATGTGTCATTTCATACACAGGAAGGCCTCAAACAGTAATGGCTTTTGTTACAGTTATAAGCTGTTTTTACACATTTTAAACAGTTTAATTGTGAGATTATTTGTACAACGTGACTAGTTTTACTGAAGGTAAATCTCCAAATCCTGTTGTCTCTGTTGGATAATTAAAAGCTGTCCTTTCTGCAGGATTATCAAAGGGAGCTCTCAGTCTGTCTGTGACTGTTTCTCATAAGACTGATAAGACTGCCTTTTTAATGAAGTACTTACAAACATACAGTAAACAGAGAGAGAACAGCTACACTAATAGTAGTGACTGATGATGAACATGAAGACAACAACAACAACGATGGGGGACAATGAGCAGTGATTATAGTAATAATAATAGCTCAGTGGGTAGAGCTGGCGACCCACGTACCAAGGCTGAGTCCTTGCTGCAGCGGCCCAGGGTTTGAATCCGACCTGCGGCCCTTTGCTGCGTGTCATCCCCTCTCTCTCTCTGCCCCCCTTTCCTGTCTGTCTTCAGCTGTCCTATCAAATAAAACCAAAAAAACATATATATATACATACTTAAAAAATAATAATATCAGTAATATTAGCAGGACCATGGCAGGAGGCTCCACCAGGATCCATGAGAACCTGCGAGACGAGAAAGCACAAGAACTCCGGGGAAGAAGTTAGTAACCTGCATTAGTGGGACATGAATGAGTGCAGAAAGAGAGAGGAAGAAAGGAGCTCAGTGCATCATGGGAAATCCCCCGATAGTCCAGGCCTATAGCAGCATAACTAAGGGATGGATCAGGACTCACCTGATCCAGCCCTAACTATAAGCCTTATCAAAGAGGAATGTCTTAAGCCTACTCTTGAATGTGGTGAGGGTGTCTGCCTCCCGAACCACAACTGGAAGCTGGTTCCACAGGAGAGGAGCTTGGTAACTGAAGGGTCTGGCTCCTGTTCTACTTTTAGAGACTATAGGAACCACAAGTAGCCTTGCATTCAGAGAACAGTGTTCTAGTGGGGTAATAGGGTACTATGAGCTCTTTAAGATATGAAGGGGCCTGACCATGAAGAGCTTTGTAGGTGAGGAGGAGGATTTTAAATTCTATTTTATTTTACAGGGAGCCATTGCAGAGAAGCTAGTACAGGAGAGATGTGATCTCTTTTCCTAGTTCCTGTCAGTACTCGTACTGCAGCATTCCGAATTAATTGGAGCGTCTTAATGGACTTATTGGGGCAACCTGATAATCAGGAGTTGCAGTAATCCAGCCTTAGTTTTTCTGCATTTGTCTGTGACAGGATGTGTCTGATTTTTGCAATGTTACGTAAATGAAAAAAGGCAGTCCTAGAGGTTTGCTTTATGTGGGAATTAAAGGGCATATCCTGATCGAAGATAACTCCAAGATTCTTGACAGTGGTGCTGGACGCCATTGTCATACCATCTAGAGTAACTACATCTTTAGACAGTGAGTCTCTGAGGTATTGGGGGCCAAGTACAAGAATTTCGTTTTGTTCTGAGTTTAACATCAGAACGTTTAAGCTCATCCAGGTCTTTATGTTTGTAACTTAGATAACGGATTAATTTCATCGGGCTTGATTGACGGGTATAACTGGGTATCATCTGCATAACAATGAAAGTTAATTGAGTGATTCCTAATAATATTGCCTAAGGGAAGCATATATAAAGTGAATAGAATTGGTCCAAGTACAGAACCTTGTGGAACTCCATGACTAACTTTAGTATTTATGGAGGATTAATCATTAACGTGTACAAACTGAGAACGATCTGATAAGTATTACTTAAACCAGCTTAGGGCGGGTCCTTTAATGCCAATCTGATGCTCAAGTCTCTGTAAAAGAATATTATGGTCAATGGTGTCAAATGCAGCACTAAGATCTAATAATACAAGTACAGAGACAAGTCCATTGTCAGAAGCAATCAAAAGGTCATTATTAACTTTAACCAGAGCTGTCTCTGTGCTGTGACTGACTGAAAATCCTCAAATAAACTATTGTTACGTAGAAAGTCACACAACTCTTTGGCGACTACTTTCTCCAGAATCTTACAGAGGAAGAGGAGGTTAGAAATCGGTCTATAGTTGGCTAAAACCCCTGGGTCAAGAGTGGGCTTTTTGAGAAGGGGTTTAATTACAGCTACTTTAAAGGACTGTGGTACATATCCTGATAATAAAGAGAGATTGATCATATCCAGTAAAGAAGTGCCAATTAAGGGTACGACTTCTTTAAGCAGCCTAGTTGGAATGGGGTCTAACAGACAGGTTGATGGCTTAGATGTTGAAATTATTTAAGTTAGTTGATGAAGATCGATAGCAGAAAATGTAACTAATGTAAAATCAGTCAAAGTTCCTGAACTTGGAGAGACAGTAATACCTGTTGAGGGCATTTGGCTATTAATTTTGTCTCTAATAATAATAATTTTATCATAAAAGAAGCTCATAAAGTTGTTGCTACTGAGGGTTATGGGGATACATGGCTTAATAGAGCTGTGACTCTCTGTCAGCCTGGCTACAGTGCTCTCCAATCAAACAGTCTGTAGTCAATGCTTTAGAACAGGATAACTAAATCGACTGATGTGGAGTTTATGCGTTCCAACACAATGGTCCTTAAAAGTTAGCTAGCTAATCTACATCATTTGTTAGCTAGCTAGCCTCATCTGAAAGCTGATGTTAGTGAAATGCTAGGTAATTTACATCCATTCGTAGTTAGCTAGTTAGCTAAAACATTGCTAACATTAACTAACTTAAGATGTGACTATTATATCTTTTAACCATCTTCTGAGGACCAAGGTTCTGACCGAGCCTTGCTCAACTGTTATTGTGGCACCGAGCAAAGATAGGCGGGATACCCTGATTGTTAGTATAAAAGCATCTTTTCATTGCACCCTTTCTGTCTGGTAGGCCACACCACCATGTTGAAACGCTGGCTTTCTGTTAGAAATGTATAGTCTTAAAGACGAAGCTGAGATGGCAGTGCCTTACTTGGTGCAGATAAGTGACTGCTCTAACAGTGAAGGATGGACACCTTGCATGGCACAACCGCCTGCTGTCTGACAAAACAACAAGAAATAACCCAAACAATTCTACATGTACATGTTGTATGCCCATAATATCATGGTGTTCAGTTTGTGTGTGATGTATCAACATTAGTAAGGATTGGTGTGACCCACCTGCAGCCTTTCAGTTGCACATTAGAGGGCACTGTGACACTGACAACAGCCACCCAGTGTGCAGGACCTGGACTTGTAAGGCAGTCTGTTTGCATGTGGGCCTTCTTGTGGCAGGTTTACTTATTAGTTCTATGCTTCAGAATGTCCCAGCCAGTCTAAATTATGTGCAAACCTGGCAGGAGAATGACTTGCATAAGGTGCGCCAGTGTATGTGTGAGTTCAGCACAGCTAGGACAGGCCTCCTAGCTTTCTCCTGTTCCAGCGCCCCAAACCCTGTAGGAGGGTGCTGGCCCGTCACAGGTCAGATCCTCTCTAGAACCCATTATGGAACGGGTGAAGTAATAATGACTAATAATCACTAAATGTATTACTATTAGAAAGAAATTGATTCATGATTGAGAATGAGAGTATATATAGTTCAGAGACTGGACCCATTTGTATTGGAATAACAGAAAAGAGTTGACTTTGAGGTAAAACTTTGATCTTGATGGTTGCTACTCGTCTGGTTAAAATGAGAGGAAAGTTGTTTGACATTACTGCTGAGTTCTGGTTAAAATGAGAGGAAAGTTGTTTGACATTACTGCTGAGTTCCTCTAATAGAGATAACTCTGACAGCCAGGGGCAGCAGCAGCCAGACACACAGCTCCCTGAGGAGAGACAAAAGGCTTTTTACAACTTTATTTTTACATGCAGTCGCCCTCCCCAACACCTGTTAGCACACTTATTTGATGTGTTTGTTGAGTTCCTCAATGCTGACCATAAACCCCAACGTCACAGGTTCACTTAGTGCATGTCACTTTCTTTCCTTTCTCTACTGTCAACTGTCTAATTATGATAAGCATATCAATTATAATAATTGAAACATTATAAAAAATAAGGAATTCATGGTTAAAATGGCATAATTTTCATTGAAATATGGCTGGATTTGTCAGTTTTCTCAAACAAAGTGTTTGATTAACTGAAGCTGGATGTCAGAAGCAGGGTTCGAGTTCTAATCTGAGCTTTGTAGGTCTCTAAAAAAAGCAACTTTGGGGCGGAGAAAAATAAATAATAATTACTTTTTATTTTAATATTGTCCCTAGTTTGGTGTCCTGTTCCCAAAGAAGAGCAAAGGAGTTTTGCATATGTATAAAACAATTTACATCTACAGTATTTCTAACTGATGTGACGGTGCAGCCAAAACATGGTCTCCTGGGAGTGAATACTTTACTCACATTGAATAATAAAAATACAAGCACATACAGAAGAAACTGTTCTTAATAACTGTCCAACAGTGTGGGAAACATTTAAAGAAGATTAAGAGAAAATCTAATGAACAAACACAAACAAAAAGACTTGTGTCCTCTGTCTGCAGGCATGGATGAGAGGTTATGTGTGCCCCCCAGCTGAAGGCCTCTGTTGCCCTGACATCCCACCAGTCCCTCTGTGAGCATGTATCGCAGGAACGGACTCTCGGATGGCACCAGCATCAATTCTGTCACTTCAGAGGTAAGAACATTTACTGTTCAAATTATTATTTTGTTCATAGTATTTTTATTAGCTTCTTAGGTTATACAAAATACACTTTGAAATACAGCTTGATATATTTGAACAAAATCCCCTCCCACACATAGCCCTAACCTTTTGCACAATTATAAATATGACCTATCAGAGCATAAGTTCAATGGTAAATATGACAAATAATCTACACCCACAACGAATATAAATGAGACATTGTGTGCATTTACACACGAGGCACAGCATTATAACTTCATTTATTATTTAAATCTTCTGACACACTGACAGGATCATCTTAATTAATGTTCTTTGATATTTTACACCTCCTCAAAAGTTCCCGCACACAGTCCAGGTTGATACAGGGAAATGGTTTAGAGTAAAACAGCCCGCCTCCTGATAAATCTGAAAGTCTTTTAAACTTTAAAACTACAGTTTGGCTGCTTAATGATTTCTTTGTTGATCGGCCCTGTAATGGCCAATACACATTATCCTGCTACAATTAGATATAAGCAGTTCATTAGTGAAATACTATTAGTTACTTCTAGTTAAAAGTTAATAGGAAGTATTGCTAAAACTTTATATCATGGTACACATTAATTAGTTCCCTATTGGTATGCATATTAGTAGCATATTGGCTCTTTATTAGCCGTTATAAAGCACTTACACAACTAGTAATGTAAGTATTGTTTTCAAATTAAGTAATGCAATTACAACTACTAAAATATAAATGAGCTTGTTACTTTTGTTTTACCTAAAAATAGTGACCAACTGCAGAAGACAGCAGACAAACAAACGCAGTAAATCCGAGCGTAACTTGTTGATTTTAGAGTTTATGACCTAACGTCACTGACCTTACGGTGGCCCAGACAGTTCAGTCCTTTCATAAAATATAATTAGTAATTAACTAACTACTGTAACAAAGCTTGCAATGTGAGGAAAAACATAGTTGCTGTTAATGGCTTAGTAGTTGGATAATATGATCATGCAGAATAAGGCATCAATAGGTGCTTTATAAGATTTAGTATTGATTTTAAGATCCTACTGATTACTTATTATTATAACTTTATTAAGCCCACAATGGGGAAATTCACTTGTCACAGCAGCATTTGAGTGAAAGAAATATAAAAAGCAGGAACATTTGCAAACAGCAGGTCCACTGGTGGAAGGTTGGGAGTGTGGACAAGAGAGAAACATGGTTGAAGTCCCCTGTGGTGATGATGATGATGATGAAGGCCTCGGGTGTTTCGTTTGTAGTCCTGCAGTCACAGTTTGGATGACGTCATACGCTGCTTCTGCTTTCCCAGACGGAGGAATATAAACAGTGATGGTGATGATGAAGACCACTGTGAGGAATATAGACAGTGATGGTGATGATGAAGACCACTGTGAGGAATATAGACAGTGATGGCGATAACACTGGAAAGGTCCTGTGGCAGACAACACAGACGAAGTCCGACGGCGACGAGCTCGATGTCCGGGCCGCTGACACGCTCTTCCACACAGTCGTGCCCGGCGTTACACCACCTGTTGTTTATGAGCACGGACAGTCCCCCTCCTTTCTTCATGCCGGTCGCGGTGGTGTCCCTGTCGGCTCGAACCGTCTGGAAGCCGGGAATGGTGACGTTGGAGTCCGGTATCTGCTCGTGTAGCCACGTTTGTAGGGTTTAAAGCTCCTCTTCTTCATCCTCCGTTTAACCCCCGCTCTGCAGCCTCACCGTCTCCTCAGCTCCTCCGGTATGGAGGGTCTCTCTCCAGTCAGGATGCTCGGGTACCTCAGGGCGATCATCTGGTCGCGGTGTAAACAATGCGACTCGCCATCGCCATGGAGACCCGTGCAAACAAAGAACATGTAACATAGAGCACAGAAAGGTCTAGCCCCCAGACCTCTGAACTCTTTATGAGCCAGAATGCAGCCTTAGATACCCAGGAAAGGCCCTCTTGGTTGCACTATAATCCGGGCTTGAGACCAAAGGAGACTGTGCTTTCGCTATTCGGGTGCCTGTGCTGTGGAATAGCCTACCTGAGGAGGCTAGCTGAATCTGTTCAGTCTAAAAATGTACTTTACAATTTACACAATATTTCCCGCTTATCCTTGTGATTTCTTCTATTTTATTTTTATTTCTATTTGTTATTCCATTTTATTCACTTATTTTATTTCAGCACACACTACTATGGGTTATGCTTTTTTCAGTGTGTTATGTTTTTAATCTCTTTTTAAAAGTATCTCTGGTTGTTGGTGTGTCTGTCTACCTCATATATTGCTTTTTATCATATTCTTTATTGCTGTAAGTGTTATTTAAAGTGTTCTACAAATTATGTTTGTATGACAAGTTATTAATAAATAAGGATTATATTATTTACTTAGGGCAAAAAAGCAGTATTTTTCCACCTGTGGACCACTTGCTGTCTCTTTCCAAAGCATCTAAAATGACTTGTACACGTGTCTTCTTGTGCTAAACAGTAAGTGGACTGCACTTGTATAGTAATTTTATACTTTAACAGAAGAAGCCCTTCGTAGTTGGCCTGTCTCGCCCAAGGACGCTTCCACATGTGGATAGGAGGACCCGACCCTCCTACCTCCTAAGCCACAGCCACCACAAAATGCCTATTGTTCTCTTTTAATAAGTAATATTTTATAAAAAATAGTCCTTTCCACTTGGTTATGTTGATTAAAATGCCAGAGCTGAAGGATAAAAAGTCAACATTCAGAGCAGATTGAATCAGTGCAGAATAAACAGGCTAGGGGAAACATCAGAGGCATTTATGCCATATTATCATAATTTGAAATGGGTCATATGCCAGGAACAAAGCATCTGTTCTTACTTGGTGGAATCCTTGATTCACTATAATAACCCGTTGAATCACATTGGGCAAGTCATTTTTATTTTTAAGTGTCTGCTGTTGTGGTATAACCAACATTTTAAAATAGCAGGAATTGCACGCTGGGCACTGACCTACTAGACCCAGAACAGTCTCTCTCTCTCTCACTCACTCACTCACTCACTCTAATGTGTTATTTGACATGTTAGGCCCAGTATTTTCAAACCGTTAATCTAGATCAGAAGTATCCAGATAGGATTAAATCTCAAAATTGGATATTTCAAAACAGGAGATATGATCCTGATCCCATAAAATTGGGATATGGATTTCATAATCCAATTCTAGCCAGAATCCAGATTAAATGTTGTTTTGGAGTATTTCAAAACTGTAAGGTGGGGATTAGGATAGTTTTGGTGCTAAAATGATGATGATCCTGATCCCACTGGTGAGGTGGACCCAGCATGGGTTCAAGGGGGATATATAGACCAATGGTATTATAGGACACTAAAACTAAACTAAAAACTAAAACTAGATGTGAAAAAGGAAGTTCATTGAAATAAAAACTAAAACTGTCTGAAATGATATTGTGTAATTGAAAAATTCTTTGATAAACCAGGACAAAACCTACAAGATGAGTTTTATCTGGATCATTCATTGGAAAGTGTCCTGAGATAACTTCTGTTATGAATTGGCGCTAAACAAATAAAATTGAATTTAATTGAAAATCATTCTTGAAATACTGGGCTCTGTAGATCACTAGAATAGTGTGATACCATTGGCTGTAATACATATTGCAACACCCAAATGCTCCTGCATGTGCACACGTGCCTGTGTGTGTCCTTGAGCACGTGCACAGGGACCCATAAACCAAAACATTGCTCCATAGTGGTCAAAAACTCTACAGGGAACCTTTCAACTTCGATTTATTGTGTGTTCATGTAAGTTTGTGCTAGAGGCCAGGAAGTCATTACAGATAAAGATGTAAAAAACAGTAGGATTCATCAACAGGGGATTAATAATAGAATATATATATTTGTGAAGGTTTCTGGATGTCACACAACTTCCTCCAATTTAACCCTGACAAAACAAGTCCTTATCATAGACCCTGAGAGAATTTCTGAAAAAATACAGCAGTGTATTGGTCCTCTAGCCTAAAGAAATCCTAGGAGTTTTCTTTGACCAACACATGAACTTTGAGTAGCACATAAAGAAAATGCTCCAATCCTGTTGCTTCCAAGAAAGGAAGCTGCTAAAAACGCACCTGTTTCGTAAGCACTTTATCCTGTAATGTGTTTTTACCTTGTGTGCAGTTCTTATTGATTTCATTGTATTTCATATTATTATTTCCTGTATTAACTTTCTAATGTTTGTGATGTACAGCACCTTGCAACTCTGGGTTTGAAGGGACCTACATTACAATCCTTTTTTCCGTTGTAATGCATCAAGTGTATAAAGAAAATTTAGGAATCTGAACAAGTGATTTAATTAAGTTGTCTTGTGGCTCACTACACTGTACCAACATTTTTGACAATTTGATAACAAAAATTCACCTTGTGGTCCCTGACACTTACTATGAAGGTGTAATGTGTGTGTCTCTCAGGCCAGCAGCAGCTCTGATTCTCTGGATGGACCTTGCGTGGACTACGCCAAGAGCTATGATGCAGTCATCTTTGATGTGCTGAAGGTGACGCCTGAGGAGTTCGCTGTGAGTACGCTTCATATGTCTCTCAGTATTTGTGTAGCATACAAGTTGGATCAGATCTTACCTAAAACACCCAAGCTGCTATTAGACCACCTACCTGGCAAAGCTTTTACACCTTAACATTGAGGAGGATCTATTGTCAGAAATGGAATATAATATTCATAGGTATGTTTTCATTAGTGTATTATTACCTGAATATAGTAATTGTTGTTTTTGTTATCTTAGAATAAGCTGTTTATCTACTACGGAGGCCAACCTGTTTAAACACTATGAAACCTAGAAACCAAATACTGGCTTTTGTGGCCACTGTAGTTTTCTCCTACATGCTTGGGTGCTAGGCGAGCAGTATTCAGTTGGTTGCAATCTGCAAATTCGCCGCTAGATGCCACTAAATCCTACACACTGGACCTTTTTAGGGAGAGAGAATTAGAGATTGGCTCTCTGATAAAGTTCCTGGTAGCTCACCTGGGACCTGGCACCCCATGTACCAAGGTGTCCTTGCTGCAAAATAACAATTAAAGGCAATTGGCTGGCTAACCATAGCTCCATAGCTTGTTTGTTCGCTAACGTTAGAGCTAGTAAAATACTATCTAAGTGGATATGTTAGTTGACATTAAAAAACAATTCTAGCATTCATTCTAGTGTATGTCACTTTTGGGCAATGGCCGGGATGCTGCAGTTCACTGAACGGCCACTATTAAGAATAGTTTTCTGTAAGTTGCATAAAGAACCTTTAAGGGTTGTTTCATAATTGCTACACATTTGCTTCAAGTATTTAGTCTGCTCATGACAAAATTACCAAAGTGGCAGCTGAGTGACTCTGCTCCTGACTGACTTGGTGTACTGTATTTCTATATAGTTAACCTGCATACTGAACAGTAATGTGGATTTCTTTTTTGTTCTTTCAGAGCCAAATCACTTTGATGGATGCACCAGTCTTCAAAGCGATACAGCCAGAGGTAAGAAAGACCTATGTTGGTCTCTTGAGCATTATTTCCTCTTAAAACATAGGAATTCTTCCAACATCACATTTTCATCCAGCTGTGGCCCTTTTGTAAAAGACAATTTTAGGGGTTCTGGTAGTTCATATAATAATGTTTGTTGTGTCTGTTGATTATTCTTACCAGGAGTTCTTAAGATTACTGCAAAAATCTGTTATTATTGACCTATCTCGATCAGTTTCTTATTCATTTGTGTCTGGTTGGATGTACAACAATCCTTAAGAAAATCAGTGAGAGATCAGTGTTTTGCAGGGAACCCCTCTGAGATCTACCCCTCCCAACAGACTCATTCCAGTCCCCTTTCTGTTTCAAATACCTCTAATGCTGCCATGATGGCCTTCACAGCTGTTGCCACTCAGATGAACCCAGACTGGCCTTAGTGGTGGAATTGTCCACTGGAAACCCTGCTTTACCCTCTGTTAGTCAATGAAATTCCAGTCACTGCTCTGCCCTGAAGGATTTTTTTCCCACCACAGGCTCTACACAGAGTGCATGCAGGGAAGAGAACCAGGCATAGATGGTAGAGACATTAGGGTTTGAGAATTAGAAATTAACCCAAGACGAAGCCCTCACAAGCATGTGGTGTATGGTTCACTTTACTCTCGTCCACAAATATCTCCCAGATCTTTTCCTTTTTCCAAATATCTGCAGTTACAGCTGCTAAGCCAAGAACTTTATTTTTTATTTAATTACTCAAGAATACTTTTTTGAAATATAAACAAATGAACAAAATATGCACAAGTTGTGTAGGGTGTGCAACAGATTTACAAAAATATTGGCAAATTCTGTTATTATACACCAATAACAACATACAGACTAGGTAAGCCTTGTTTTTAGCCTAGCAGTTGTTGATCACTTGCGGCCCCTACTGGCAGGTTAAGAGTGAGTCAGCAGTCCCTGTCAATAAACAGTCAATAAAATCAGTTTTTCAGGGTTTTTCAAATATTTTGAATCACCGCAACCACAAGAGGTCCTTAAGCATGCAGTTATAAATGTGCACAAAAAATATGAGGGTGACTGCTCCAGTAGTATGTGTGATTAGCTGTGCTCAGCTACACACACCCACACACACAGCTACACACACACACGCACTACCAAAAACAACTACCTTGATGCTAACGCCTGGCAAAGATAATAGGGGTAGAAACAAAGCAAATGCAGATGCTTCAATGCGGGAAAGCCTCACTGAATGGTTTGATGAAGATAAAAATTATGTGAGTCAAACACAGTGACCTGCCCAGTCGACAAATCTCTACTCATCCAAACGACTATGGCAGATTTTGGCACCAGATGAGGGAATATCTTTTGGAAGAAGGCTCTTCTTCCCTCCAGTACAGTTCCATACAGTTGGAGAATCTGTGACAAGCAGCACTGAATCTATTCTCGTGGTGGAACAACACTACAGTTTTTCTCCAACTTGTCACTTTCTGCATTAGTGGTTGACCAGTGAAACAGTCGGCTGATTATTCCGCCGATTAGCTGTCGTTTTGAGATAATCGGCTTTGGCCGGTGTCTGTGTGTCACTGGGCCGTTAAAAAAAAAGAAAATGCTTCTTACACATCTGCAGGCAGGCTTGTCAGTGTGGCAGCTGTGGACCGATGTTAGTGCTCCCCTTTGTTAGTTTAGGGTAGGTGGTGAAAAAGGTTTGAGCCCTGTACTATAACTCATGCTAATAACTAATGCATCCTGCTGTAAACATATACCTGAATTTCCTATGGAATAGAATGCAATTATACACGACTTCTTTGTTTTGATATCAGTGTTATATATCGGCCATTGGCAGCCCTGTTCTCTAAATATTGGCATCGGCCATTGAAAAACCCATATTGGTTGACCATTAATCTGCTAAATTGCAATTTACATTTTCCATTTCAAAATAATCTGTCATCACTGTGTTGCATTTAATGAGATATCCTGGTGGGACTTTGTGTCCAACATGAGATTATAATGGAATTTGGATTTGTGGCGGTTTTCCTGTCAGGACGGTATGTTCTTTTGTTAATGCCTTTATTTAGGCTTGTCAAACACTGGATAAAATCCTTGAAGGAATCCAAAGAAATTATAATTTAAATTGGCTAAAAGTAAAAGGCAAGGGAATTTCCAGTGGTGGATGGATTGCTGTTTATCCCTGCTTTTTTTTATTCAGTCATCAATCCCTAGTTTATGTCTTTCAGAGGCGTCCACACCCATTCTGATGATTCCATTTTAGTCATGCTAGCGACATAGCTCTGTGGGTGGCAATATCTGTTAGTCAGTTGTTCCACCACGTGGGTGCAGGCTGGAGTATCTCAACATTTTTTAGGAGGTTTGGCATGAAATTAGAACATTCATTCAGACTGGACGTTGGACATTCATGGTCCCCAGAGGACGACTCCTACTGACGCCCTGACTTTTCATCTAGCACCACCGTGAGGTTGACATATGTACTTTAGAGTGAAATGTCTCAACAACTATTGGATGAATAGCCATGGAATTGTATACAGACATTCATAACTCTCAACAGAGATGAGAAGGGAGCGAGATGGCTCACTCCTTAGCTACATCCATCATCAGCTCTGGAAAAAGAGATGTTGTTGAACTCAACACAAGCAGGCAATCCTTGTTGTTGAGCGTAACTTAATATTGCTGATTCATCTAAGTCAGATTTGAATAGCTATGCATTGTTGAGATGAGGCAGATTTCAAATACGGTGGCTATAGACTCTTAGTTTTGTTTCCAACTATCTTAGAATTGGGAACAGTTAGACCTTTCTTCTGCATTGGAACACAGCAAATGGTCTGACACAGCACGTCTGGCAATGAGAGACTGTTTCCTAATGGCTCACCAGAATTCCCACAGGGGAGATAAGCACTTTCCCACCTTGACAAGGCGACCGCTCTGAGGGAAAACCCTGACAATGTATATCAGAATCAGAAATACTTTATTGATCCAAAGGCGGAAATGTCCTATTCATATGTATTCATAATATTATATTGGTAGAAATGATGAACTGTTGTTAAAATGTGATATTGTCATCATCTCTATTAATTTGTAGTCTTGCCTCTGACTGGTGGTGGTTTTGCTTAATACTACACATCATCTGCACTGTTGTAATTATCTGATTGACAGGAGCTGGCCAGCTGTGGATGGAATGGGAAAGAGAAACACAGTTTGGCCCCCAATGTGGTCGCATTCACACGCAGGTTCAACCAGGTACGTCTTACTACATTTCTAACTCAAATATTTCATTGTTACATCACTTCTTCTCAAATAACTGAACTTACTACAACAAAGAAGAGTAATGCTTGATGCTAGACTTGAAAGTGAAATACTGAACAGTCTCTACCAACCTGTGAACCAATATTACTGTTGCTTAGTGTGTCGTTATTGTGAAATCCTTCAGTTTCTTTAACAAATATATTTAGTATTTTTCATATATAGTATTTTGGTCTTAAAGCTGTTCCAACATCATCCTTCACTTTTTGATCATGGACATGAATCCTGGCAACCATTAAAAGTAGATTGATCAATCACAACCATTGAAAAGCTCATTAGTGGGGTTCAATCTCATTTTCACTTTTTAGTGCAAAAATCAAATCCTTCCTGCCTACAGCCATTTAAAATGCAGATGTGTGCAGCTGCAACATTGCACGCTGTTAATTTGAAAAGTTTGTTTTTCCTTTAGCTACCTAGTGTTGTTAAGCAGTGTGGGTTTAATGCAGAACATTAGTGTATATCATGTAGTCTTAGCTCACCCCTGCAGTGTAGAGCTTTGATCGGGCCCAAAAAATCAGGTAGACAATGTTAAAAAGTCATGGTTACATAAAATGAAACAACCAATAGAAACCATAAGTCAGAATAAACCACCGCACACTAGAGTGACTTTACTGTGATTTATTTACAAGGGAACAACGTGTTTCGCTTGCAAACCCCCAAATCAGTGTGCCAACTAACCCTGTTCAAATTTGACCCAACTTTATGATAAAATGATCTTAGCCAGTTGCCATCAAAATGTAGCTGATCCCTATGTCTATGAACTAAGGGAAACACATTTCCAGTATCACAGACTAATAATAGTCTTATAATACATTTGGTCCACAGACTAAAGACAACTTTTTTACTTTCAATACTATAAAACTGAAACATTCACCAAAAAACTTTTAACATGGATGACTACAGGAAAAGAAAGTAAACATTTTGATTTTCCATTTTTCTTTCTGTGACTTTCCCAGAAATTAGCTCACTAGCTAACTGACTGTTGTGTCTGTACATCATGTTTCAGGTGAGCTTTTGGCTGGTGAGAGAAATCTTAACCGCCCACACGCTGAAAATCCGAGCAGAAATACTAAGCCATTTTGTCAAAATAGCAAAGGTGAGTTCAAATAACTGAATGAACGCAAATGTCTTAACAATGAGGAATACTGATATATTTAAAGACGGAGTGCTATTTGTGCTTATTTATGCATTTCCTGTAAAAACAGGCAGTTAGGGAGGGACTTGTCACAATAGTCAATAGCGCTGTGTTACGTCCCCCCAGTCCAAGTGTTCAAACACTGTTTATGAAATAAGGTTGTTGCAGGTGTTATTCGAAACTTCATCTTGCACTGTTAACAATATTAAGATGGAGATTTCTTCCGTGGTTGAAAAAGTGGTAATGTGTTCTTAAAATATTTAGTCACTATTCTATCTAATCTATCAATCTAAAACTGAAATGTATGTTTTCAGAGGACAAAAACAAGCTGTTAATCCTAGTTACAGCAGGAATAGCTCATTGTTATGTTTGGTAAGCATTTCAGTGCAGTATGAAAATTCATCAGCAGACACTGATACGTATTCCGAAATGGAGGCCAGCATCTGTTGAACAGTTAAAGTCTTTTAGTGTAGATTTTTTATTTATTTCATGGGTCCCTCCCAGTCGCTCATAAAAACAATCTCTACACAGAATCCAATCTAGTCTGTGAAGCTGCAGCACACAGGAGCTACCCAGGTACTTTATTACTTTATATGAGGGGTGATGGAGGAAGCAGACATGCTGATGGCAGAAAGAAAAGGGTGTTTCTCCTCTTGTGGTCCGATCAGGGAATAATAGCAGGAGTTTTTCCCTGCGGTCAGTGTGGGATGGAAAAGGAAACGTGGAACCACCTGTTCTTGGCCAATTGCAGAGACATTGACTAATGACACCAAACTACCAAAGCACGCTTTATATACCTTTTTTAACTTTCTGCAAACCCAGAATGTTTTTACCATAGGCAAGCACTCTGCAATTATGGATTAAGGCTTCAACTACTACTGAGGTGTGTAAATGGCATCGTCTCAGAAGTGTTAAAAATGTATCATTCCATGCCTCTTCACAAAAGTGGAGATAAGTGTACCCTATATAACTATTGATTCTGTTCCCAAGATGTCTAAAAGTGGATGATAAATTATATTAGCTCAATCTCTGATGGAGGCACTTTAATTTTGTCAAATTAAAAGCATAATTGTGGTTTATTACATCTGGCATCTTATTTTCCCAGGTTTAGCCATAGATCTTTCATTTTCAGTAATAATAATGTTGCGCTTGCGAAGTACATTTCTGGGAACATGGCTAAAAACAAGTAGAGTGGATAGATACACATACACAAGCTTCTTTGGAAGAGAAAATGAAGGTGAACAATAAGATTATAACGCTGTCATAAACATCCATTACTTTACAGACACACTTCTGTTGTGAGTGCAAACATATTTCCTGCTTTCCTGTCAGACTTTGTTGTAATGACACCATGGTTCCTAATTTGGTGAGTACAGTGTTATCGTCACTGATGGAAATGATGGCCAAAACTACAAAATTAGACCCAAGTTGTAATCAACTGAAAATATCCTTTAAATCACCAAAGTAATGTCAGGCGGGGTACATGGGATTGCGGTTCATGGATGGAATCATCACCACCCATTGTTTTTAAAGCTATGTTGACTTACTTACAAGTGCATTATTACAGTGCAACCTGACTGAAGTTGTTTGTTAGACCTAGGGTAATACAGTAATAAATGTTGTTTTTAATAAAATATCTGTTTGTTCCCAGAAACTGTTGGAGTTGAACAACCTTCATTCTCTGGTGTCAGTGGTGTCCGCTCTGCAGAGCGCTCCCATCTTCAGACTCAGCAAAACCTGGGCGGTAAGATGTCAGCTTCATCCTCTGCTAGAAGTGGTGTGGGGGGGAATGCCAATACTTTGCCCATATCAGCAAATCATTATAGAGTGCTGCAGGGATGACATATTATAGGCCAACCCAGAAGTTAGACTCATTCCATTGCATTTTGGATTATTGCAGAAAATAAGCTCCGTGTTGAACAAAAGTTTATGTCGTTTTTTTCAGCCAGATAATCTTCACTAATGAGCACCATGTTTATCGTTTGCATTGAAGCAAAAATGCGATCACCAGAAGTTAAAGCTAACATTAGGCTATTAACGTAATGTCACCACCACCTAAACTTCCAACTTGTAATTAAATCTTGTAATTAAAAAAATCAAAAGTTGTAAAGTTTGAGTTGGAATAGTGTGCCAGAGCAGGAGTGTAAACACCACGAGGCTGTAAAGGCGGACCTCTGACTGGATAAGTCTCCATGTTTAAATGTCACTGACAACCTCTGTAGTATCATTTAGCCACTTGTTAGCAACCGCCTTTTTAAGACGCGTAAAAGCTTCAAAATTCACAGGAGGGGTATTTAGATAACAGACCTTTAACACGGACCCCCACCCTACCTGACCTTTCTGAACAAGTTTTGAGCAAATTTAGTTTTTTGACTCAAATGTTCTGTTTGAAACTTTCCAGACAGGGCAGCAGCTTATATAAAACATATGAAATTAGAATCATCATGGGTTTAAAAAAGCTCCATGTCTTTGCTCCCCCAGACCTCATTGTTGGGTTTCTCATAATATTTTTGTGGATAGATCAGGAAACTGGATCAGATCTTGGTGGACAGTTCTTTGTGGCCTCAGATAACTGTCCTTCAGAGAAAATAGAGATAACATGTGGTACTTGGCTGTCCACTCACAATGATTTTTCACTGGCACAAACAGATCCTATTCAGTAAGTTTATTAGTACTAATGTGTACAGTAGCTGGCCAGTACCAATTTTCCAAACAGAGCTTTTGAATGATTAGTTCCACATCGTAGACTGCTGTTTGTGAGCTCTTATACGCCATATCTCCTCCAGGCCATTAAAGTGCACATTGTTTGGTCCTGGTTTTATTATTTAAACATGAATTCTGATTTTATTGTACTGGATATAAGACCATGAAAAATGGAAGTGTCTGTGCCAAGACACATGGAGAAATACTCTGAGGCTAGTTTCTGTTGATTTAATTTTATAAAGCAGTACAGAGGGACAGTTACTGTATCAGTAAAGAGCAGAGATGCTTCTAAAAACACTCGTACATTACAGATACACTGAGAGGAGAGGGGTTGTATTTGCAAGGCTGTCAACTTCAATCAACTATGTGGTGATAATATAAATATGTCGTTTTCAGACCTACTTAATCCAGATACTGAAAATCTAATTTAAATGATTCTGACAGTTTTTAGTTTGGTCTATAAAGTGTCATGTGCTTGTTTTTGTCTTACAGTACAAAAAGCAGAAATATTCATTTTATAAGACAAAGAAAATTTATGAATATTCACGTTTAAGAACCTGGAACCAGACTATGCTTTACATTTTTCCTTAAAAAGTGAAATATTAGTTAATTTGCCATAATGATTGCTGATTCATTTTCTGTCAGTTGATTAACCAGCCAATTGTTTAAGTGTTAATTCCAACTACGGATGTGACGCTTTCAGCTAAATGGTTTCACTTAGAGCTGTAGTGGCTATCTTCTAATCCACCAGGCCTGAACAAAAACGACCAATCAGAGCCAAGAAAGGTAGTTGATTGTTATGTCTCATTCCCAGGGTGTCAAATATAGACACAGGGAATGAGATTCATCAATTGTCTATCTTCGGAAAATAACACAACAACAGCAGCACCGAGTGAGACATATTGATAAAAAGGAAAAGCCACCCATACATAACCACATTAAAACATAAGTACAAGATCAAGTACACATTAGTGACTCATGTCTCATGCCAAAACATTGTTTATGAACACAGGTCTGACTCACCCACCTTCCCCTTTTCAGTTTGTTTTGTTTTGTACAGTTGATGGAAACCAATACCACTCCAAAAACCTTCCAAGTCACTTACTTTGTGCCTGAGCAAGGTATTGTGTCACATACTGGCAAATAGAAAACAAGGCACTTGCCAAATTTGTCACGGTCACTCAGGATAAGGCACATATAGCAGCAGACATACAGAGGGGAAATACTGCAACATATGTTAGCTGAGAAAGTTGTTGAGTATATTCCATTGTAAATCATCACTTAGCTTTTTAGTTATGGGTTTTGGAACACAGACAGACTTCAGTTTGGTTCAGATAAGATGTTACTGATGTTTAATAGTTCCCACTCAGGTAATGTAGGCTCTGAAATGAGAATGAGAAATCAAAATGTGTGTACTTTTTCTAACCTGTTGTTGTAGTTGATCAGTCGGAAAGACAAGGCCACATTTGAGAAGCTGAACTATCTGACATCCAAGGAAGAGAACTACACCCGCATGAGAGAATACATCCGCTCCCTGAAGATGGTGCCCTGTATTCCTTACCTTGGTGAGTCCTCCATCTCTGCTCCACTATTATTTCAACACATCCTGCTTCACATCCTTTTAAGTCAGTCCATTTGACTAGTCTGAATTTCAGTCGGCAGTTTTAAGCCATGCATACATACACTGTATACTGTATATACTGTTGAGCTGCACAGTCCATGATATACAGTAAGACTTGTTGATCTACTTTACCAGTTGCCCAAATGCCCTCAGAAGTGTTTTTCTTTTTATTGATTTTATTTAGTCATAAAACACATGTAAATCTCACTTTTCTAATATCACATAGCTCCGGGATCACATTACTTGTAGGTTTGGTTTTTAACATATTATCATGACAGGTGGCTTATAATTGTCCAGCTGGGATGAAATATGCGGAGCACTACGTTTTGGTGTCGTTCCAACCAGAGAAAATTATAATGGAAATTAATTTACACTAATAAGTTAACAAACCCTTGTTGGTTAACTACACTAGGTTGATTTGGCTTCTGCGCTGGCCGGAGGCAACACGTTTTCAGTCTCATTCTCTTGAATGTGATATCTCAGGGAATTTCTTCAGATTTGGCACAAATATCCACTTAGACTCGAGGATGAACTGGTTAGATTTTGGGGGTCACAAAAATTTTTTTGGCCATAACTAAAGAATGATGTGGCATAAACTGTATGATTTAGAAATGGACGTAGTCTCTGTGACGTCCCCCATAGGTTTCTGAAGAGCCGTTGTGAAGCTCAGTGTGGTCGGCTCTGGCCGTCGCCGTCTTGGCAGTCCTGACTCCGCCAGCTTATCCAAAAATGGGAAAAGAGGTGGAGCTGAGGCGGGCTGAATGAAGCCTGGTTACTGAAAACAGCCGCCTGTGTCAGCACCCACCTTTCACTCAAAGTGGGCAGACCATAAATTATGCATAACTTTAAGCGTTTAGTGGGTAATTAATCAGGAAAGCTTGTCTGGAAATTCTGGAAACACAAGCAGGGCTGTACATAGTTTATTGAAAGACCGATAACATACAGACTATAAAAATAATCTTACTAAAACAGCATATATATATATATACACAGTACCTGGTACATACTGTATCTTTACACCAATACAGTGACTGATCTTTTCAACAGACCAGGAGACCTTTGGTGGGTAGAGGGAATAACTGAGTTGTACCTTTTGGTTTCTCTTTAAGTGTACTGTAGCTGCTTTTACCTGCAACAAAATTATATTTGTTCAGTGTGAATTCTGTCTACATTTAAAGGCTTGGATCTAATTTGCTATGTCCATATTAGATGTTGGATCTTGTTAGCTGTTTGAAACAAACTACGCACAAAAAGTAAGAAAATTTGTGTTTGGTAGATTTTTCTTTGTAACAATGCTTCTTGGCAATACATCTCATATCATTGGAAAGCCTGTTTATTTCCCTATCAAATGGTGCCACATTTGTAAGGAACATGCATTTGTGGGATAAGCAGCAGAGCTCAGTATGTGGGTTGCATCCATGAAAAATGTGCCAAATATTCTCTGCCAATGCCAAACAGCTTTTCTTTGCTGTTGCTATAGACTCTTAATTTGAGCTTCTGGTACCAATAAACGAGGCTTGTCATCATTGGAGGCAATCTCAATGCAGAGAGATATTGAGATGAAATTCTGCAACTAGTGGCAGTGGCAATCCCATATCTTCACAGTTTGGGGCCAAACTCTATACTCCAAGATGACAACGCTCGCCCCCACAGAGCGGGGTTTATCAGAGACTACCTCCAGAATTTGGGAGTGCCAGCAGTCCTGACCTTAACCCCATTGAACTCTCGTGGGATCAGCTTGGGCGTGCTGTTCGTGCCAGACTGACCAACACAAACACGTTGGCTGACTTGTGACAAATGCTGGTTGAAGAATGGGATGCCATCCCACAGCAGTGTGCGACCAGCATGAGGAGATGGTGCCAGGCTGTTGTGGTTCTTCCACACGCTACTGAGGCTCCTGTTTGTTAAATGAATAAATAGTTAAATTGCCAATATGTCTTGTCTCTTCAGACTTCAATCACCTTGTTAAATTTCTGCCGCCACGGTATCAGAAATGGGGCAGACGCACAATGTAGTCACGGCTGCCTTTTCAATGGTCCTGCCGACATAATGCACCCCCGTTGGCTGCCGCTCACATTGCAATTTAACAACAAGTAGAACTATTCAGAGGTTATTGGGGCTGTCCACTTTAACTCCACATACGGTTGTGTTGATGTAGCTTATTGTTAAAACGTTCGCTTTCTTCCAAGTCGACTATTAAACTAACAGCTCCACCAAAAACGCCACCGCAGTGGGTCCGTTTTAATTGGACAACGTTCAACTTTTCAGTTCTCAGCTCAACATCCTGATATGAAACAGCTGGAAACATTAAAACGGTAAATATATTTGTTTGTGTCGCAGCGAAGTGTCACTTCTGTTTCATACGTAAAACGTTTGCCGGCGTGACGGTAGGGAACAGGCCTGCCACCGCTGCTAAAAAAAAATCCTAGAGGAAACACTGGGTGCAACCCACATACTCAGCTCTGCTGCTCATCCCACAAATGCATGTTCGTAACAAATGTGGCACCATTTTAAATGGAAATAAACAGGCTTTCCAATGCTATAAGATTTTTTGAGCATTGTTATAACATAATAGTCTACCAAACACAATTACCCTACTTTTTCTGCGTAGTTTAGATACCTTTCTGAACAGAACATGGTTAAAGTGAGTGAGTTGTGGCATAAAATAAAATATAAGTACAGAATTTCCAGTACCAAAATGTTGAAATCATTCTTCAGAAGAATTCAAGATCATGTAACAGTGGTCCCATCAACGGGTGATGTGGATGAAGTGCTGGGAGATAAACCTGAACAAGCTGTTTGTGCACCATTAGTAGAAACAAAGACAGTTTTTCTTGCAACTTCATATCTCCCTTATCTCACTATAGATTTATCAGACTTATCAAGCATTATAGAATCTTTACAATCTACATAAGCAATTCAATTCAAGAATTATGCATTGTATTCAGTGATGCATGTAGCTGTATAGTCCTGTCCGGTTTAGATTCAAGAAAAGATGACCTGTTGAACTACTTTTGTTCACAGTCTAAGTAATCAGATTCCTTCAATCCGTTGTTTTATGTGCTATTGTCAAATCCAAAGACTAGATGAAATTAAGAAGCAAAAGACTTAGAAAGTAAATTACCCTGGAAAATTATTTACTGAAACCTTCTAGAAAATTGTATCAAAATAAATAACCAGATTTCTCTCCTGTAGAATTGATCCCAATATATGTTGTACATCCATAATTATATGTTATATATGCACCAATAATAGTCTAAAGTACCAGTTTATTGCTAGCAGTCAGTTTTGATTTCAGGATACCTAAATTCCTTTGTTACTATTTTGCTTTAATATATAATTAATTAATTAATTAATAATTAATTAATTATTCTCTACATAACAAAGAAATCATATGTATTGTATTCTGTATTGTATTGCATTCATTGAAGTTTTTGATGACTACAAAATCAACAGAAGCCCACACAGATAAGATATTTCAGACTCTTAATGTAAGTTTGTGTGTGCTTTTATTGATTTGTGTGCAATGCAGCTTTATGAGCCCAAACAAGATAAGTAAAACCTAAACCTGTAGGATGAATAAAATAAAAAAATTCTGCTTGGATTCTATCGTGAGGCTTTGCATTTGAAGCTACATTATGAATATACAGTAAAGCCACAAACAGAAAAAAGCAAAGACTGAAGTTCAATTGAAGGATGCCTGTTTTTCTGATAGAAAAATGTAATCCCTTTGGTGGAAATGTTCATTTACTAAAATAAGTTTTGAATGACTGAGGTGTTAATGGAAGGTGTTTGCATTGGGTCTTATCATCATGGTCACTTTCTTCAGAGAATAAGCACCTCCTCTGAACTCGGCCCAGTAGACGCCGTCCTGGTAACGGCTGCGGTAATGCCCACCACGGTACCACACGCCGTTCAGGTTGGAATGAGCACAGGCGTTGTACCACCATCCTCCCTTCTGGTAGTGTGCACAGTTACCTGAAGACACAAGGCATGAAATCAGACCAAGAGGTATACCAGCAATCTGGTCTTCTGCTGGTTGTGGGCACTGGGTTAGGACTGATCCTAACAATGGATTGTTACCCTGCTTTTTAAAAAAATCTAATTCGTACTTGATTGGCATTTTTGTATGTGTTTATTTTGTGCTTAACAGTAAAGCTCTCTAACTGGGAAGTCATCATTGGAAACTGTATGGAAAACGACAGGCACTTTCAAAAAATACTCCATATAACGTCGTCAAACTCTTCTTGAAGCCAGTCAGATGAAGAGTGAAAACATATTTTCCAAGAAAAAATCCTTTACTGCCTTTCTTTGCTCTTATATTAATGAAACAATACTCTAGTTCTGTTGAACTGATGCTAGCAGAGTCTATGCTAACCTCTTTAGCTGCCGCCATTGTTATTCAATGAACAGTATTCTTGCTGCGTCACACCTAGCCACACCTATCTAGCTGCCAGTGCTTCCTCAAAGGACGCAGAGTGGCCTGGTAGCGCTGTAATTTGTCCAGCAGATAGCTGGAACCTATCCCAGGACAGAGTGAGAGGCAGGCACACCTTCACATCAGTCAGAGAGCAGTGTCCGTATCAAGTCGTCATTGTGGGTACATAACTAAAACCTGAATAAAGCCAGTTATGATACACTCAACCTCATTCAGTAAGAGGCTTGAATCCGATTCCAAAAGATCTGCAGGTTTTGCAAAGCCCATCAACAGTTATGAGAACCTTCTCTTGCATTGCATTACACTCACCCGTGTATACATCATGGTCTCTGTCCAGTGTGGTAAACTGCTTGCTGTTGTGCCAGGTAAGAGAGTCTCCGGCGTTGCCATGGTATCGGCCCACCCGAAGCCTGTAGAAGTCGGCCTCAGATTCGACACGAAAGCTGGCATACTCTGCGAAGGTCTTGCGTCCGGTCCAGTCTTCCAGGGTCACCAGCAGCTTGTAGTTGCCCTGGTTGGTCAGCCAGTAGATGTTCTCTAGTCCTAACCAGTATTCACCATCAATGTTTCCAAACCCTTGCTGTAAGAGGAGAATACATTGAGTTAGTCAGGAATAATCCACTCCTACTGTTCCCAACACATGATTTAATAAGAAATACCACAGCAATTCGATTATTTTAAAATTTACAATAAGAAGCAGTTTTTTTTTTTCTCCTGTTGGAATCAGTTGTGGTCTTCCAGCAACAAACCACCCATGTTTTCTAAGCATCTTTGAAAGACTGGTATAATGTCCGAGCAAGAGGCCAAGAGCAGTGGCATAATGGCAGGAGGTGTTTAAGATCTTCTCCAGCAGAGCTCATTGTGTGTCTGAATCCCTGGCTTCAATTATATCACACATGGATTCACTCAGGAGCGACTCCTCATCCCTGCCAAATATGAGTGTGTAATTGGCTTAAAGTGCCTTGTTGACTCATTGAGGGTGGGTTGGGGAATGACTGTGTTGGGGGACAACTTGAAAGTACTCCCTTGCGCTTTGGTCTTGAGTTTAAAGTACTGAGAAGATTATGCAGATTGGGATGTCCTCACTTTAGGCCACAGAATTTTAATCTTTGGTAACTGAATATTTCACACATGTGCACCCATATTTACGTAATGTAAGGTTCCACCGGTAGTAACTGGGAAACAGTGCATGATTATGAAGTCCTTGGATCACTGCACTGGCTGCTACGCTCGGAGCATGTTTAGTTCATTTGAATTGATTTTAGCTCTGCTTTTGTGATCTCATAGATTTGATTTTGTTGAGTTTTTCTTTCGATTACTCACATATTACACAATCGGATGGCTTGCCTAAACAGTTTGTTTTGTTAAAGATAGATTTCAGCTGTGGAAGATACATTTAGTTTAATTATTTAATCACAGATATAAGTTTGAGGTCCTTTGTTTTTTTGTTTTTTTTAAGTAACCACCATGCTCCTGTCATATTGTGACTTCTGTATTGTAAAACTACCTTAAATTAATCTTAACCTCAACCCAAAACCTCATGGGAACCGTAGTTGCTCAATGCTTTATCTAAATGACAAGGATTACCACATTTTGATAGCAATGGTTTTGCAGAAGCAGATACCAATTTAGCTTCTAATACAAACACAAAAATACCAATGTCATGTCTCAGCTTTTTGTCTAATAAATCCTATTTATGCAACAAGGTGACAGCGACTAAACCCCTGAAAGGCTGTCTACACAGGACGTCATCAGTCTGACACATCTAACAATCAGATACATTTGAGTCTGCGACCCAAAGTTGTTTTTTTTTTATGCTTCAAGTCAATTTTCTTACAACTAATGCACATACATGTAAGTACGTAGATCTGTTGTTTGGACTGTGAGCTCTTGAAAACTTTCTGTGGCTGAATGCAAGTGTGGCACTGATGGAAGACTGTAGCTGTTACTAATCTGCTACTGACTAGGGTTAGGAATTGAGAACCGGTTCCAAATTGTCCAATCCTTCGGAATTGCATGCCTCGAGCTTATCAATGTCTTTTATCGATGCTGGCACGTTGCGCATTACGACATGCATGACCACATTTCACCATTAAAGATGACAACAGAGCTTGTTATAATGTCTGTAAAATGATCATTTCATTTAAGGGTGGAAACACTTACAATATGTCGGACATCTTTCTACGAAACATGGGCTTAAATTCCATGCCATGTCCGTCATAAAGGGTAAATATGCTTTGTTAAAATAACATTAGCGCCACATAGGCAGATTTTTTTTTCTTTGACTAAAACCTAAATGACAACAAATGCTGTACAAATATTTTCACTTCATGCATTTTAGATGACTTTTTTCTGCTCTGTTTTTACTATGTGTTCAGATTCAGAGATAATAAACAGTTGTGTCAATGCTGAACACCTGTGTAGGGCTAATGTTTTTACCCACACAGAAAATAGATCAGGAATTGATCACAGATTGCAGAATGGCGCTGGTATCAATGAAATCTTCAGTATTTGGCTGGTGTCAACAGGGTGTTGGTCTCATTAGTATTTGAATTCATCTAACAAGCTAAATCTAAAGAATAGTTGAAAACAACTATCACATTAGTTCCAGTCTGTGGTAAATCACCTGCCACTTATACAATAACTGGATGTCTAAACTATATCCTTATGTCAGCATCTGATAAAAATCCATCCCAACATTTTAATTGATAGATCTAAGAAATAGGGCCGTCACCAAGAAGCATATTTGATTGTAAAACAGTATTTTGTCAGCATACAGTATGTACCACAGATGCCTGGTTAGGTTGTATAATCAGGTTGTCAAAGGTAGAACAGTCCTGGACAGACTCCATGGACCTTAACCTCAGTCTTAGACTGTAGACTTGTTTTCCAAGTACATGACCATTAACTTATTTTACTCCATGTCCAGGAAACTATGTCATAACTGATGTAATGTCTGTGTTTCCCCTTCTCGTTGTTCTGCTAGTTCAGAGTTAATTTAGGGGGAATATTAGTCAATAACAAAATCAGGGAGGATATCTTACGTTTAGTGGTGTAAGTATCGAAAATAGTTTCTTTTAGTATGCTTCATTAGTGTTTTTGAGTGTGTGTCCTATCGGAGATCATTTGGAAGTACTACTCAGCCTGTCAAAATAGTTGTATAATATCCTATATGGGCTTTCTAACATGTTTGAAAATTACCCTTAGGATGTTAGATCAAATGAAGACAACCAATTCAATACCAGAAAGCCTGAGGTACGGGAGCCTGGATAGCTCATCTAGTAGCACCCTGTGTACAAAGGCTGAGTCCCTGCTGCAGCAGGGTTTGAATCCGACTCAAATTTTTATTAAACTCTTGGTAAACTAATGACATCAGCTTCAGCTATGCTTTGATTATAGTTATAATGAGCAAATTAGCATGCTAACATGCTAAACCACAATGAACATGGAACACATTGATATATTAGCATTTAGCTCAAAGAACCACTGTTCCTACATACTGTCTCACATACCCCTTTTCTACCAAGGTATTTTGAGGGCTTGATTGGAGCCAGTGCCTGATCGCAAACCAGTTCTTTTGACAGCCAAACTGCCCTGGGAAACTGGTTCCAGCGTAGAACTAGGTTCTAGAATCAAGAACCGCTTACTAAAGGGGCTGGGGGCCAGTTAGCTATATATTTATTAGCTGTTTAGTGAGCTACTGATTTCTCACATAAATCTTATGGATTTAACCTTGAGCTAGCTAGTTGTTGGTCAGCTAACATTACCCAAGCAAGCATAGCTACTAATTTATCACATCAATGTTTCATTTGTAACTTTGTTCGTAAATGTAATGTCTTATGTTCGATGTTAGTGAAATTAATGTAAGGAATTAGTAGCTATGCTTAGTCTGCTAGTGTAACCTTGGTAACAATAGCTAACATCAAAAACAGTGATGTAATGACGTGGCTCTCTAGCCCATGGAAAAGCAAAGCGGTTTTCAGAAGGCTCTCAAATTGAACTTCTTGAAACTCTGAACCAGCACTAGTGCCAGCCCAGAACTAGCACTAGGTTCATGTTGGTGGGGGATAGCAGAGTATGTTTAATTCCTAAAATGTATTATCACATTTCCAAGGCAAGTAGAACCCTATGATCCTAAGCTCAAATCCTCCTCATTACCTTGTACGTCTCCCAGTTCCGGAAGAAGTTGACAGAGCCGTCCTGACGTCTCTGTATGACAGTCCATCCACCGGGGTCGTGTCTCTGGTCACACCAAACCTGCATGAGTTTGTTTCCATTGTCTGGTTTCAGAAGGTACATGCCACTGGTGGTGTATCCACCCTCCAGAGCCTTTAGACAGTCTTTGAAAGGACCTGCAGGAGAGAATGAATGCTGGCTCACAAATCAAAGTATACACAAAGTATACCTTGTACTGATCTACAAAGCCTTTCATGACTGGCATTCATTTCAGCAATATGCTATCATAATTGTTATAATTCTAACAACCTGTGCAAGTAACAGACACTGCAACATCAAATAGAATATTAAAACATATGGACAGATGACTCTGGAAAAGTGAAGTCACTGTTGACCATGTGTTATGCATGCCAAATATGACAAATGCTTTCCAGTCTCTGTGACGCTGGCAGCAGTAAATACTGCTGTGAGCAAAACTGCACTGGATTTCTTGGTAACCGCAGAAGACATAACATGGAAACACAGACAACATATTTAACTTAAAATCTCATCATACCATTATGTACAGAGGTTACTGTCTGAAGGTGTTGTTTTGAAGCCTTACTGTGGTACTGTGTGTTCGTAGGAACACTAGAGGGGGCAAAGTATGTGCATATGAAGAAACCAGAGACTCCTGGGTTAACATCTTTTCTGATACTAAAAATCAGCATTTATATTTCATAGCTGGAAAAGCCTGGACAACTAGCAACTCATACAGTTGGCTTTTTGAATGAGTTTTCTAAAATTTTGTTTGTTTTGCAAGTCCAGTTTTAGTCCTATATTATTGCATATTAGCTTGTTGCATGGATAAGGTTACATGGAAGCAATTGTCCCAAAATCTGTACTGTCTGGATTTGGATTGGACAGTTGTTTATTGTCCCGCAGCCCCTGTCCTCAGAGTGTAGGTGGCAAATGAATGACCACAATAGGACAGCGATTTCTTCTACCGTCTAGCAAAAGAAGGCCTAATCTAGAGTCACAAACAAGTTTTTTTAAATTGAGTTTTACTTAAAATTTTTGATGTTATCAGTTTCAACAATCTGTTTTTCTGTTAAATCAACTTACTTGTTGATTGATTTACAGTGTAGCAGTTTAGTTTTGCCCTTGTATGTGCAAGCATGTTATTTTTTTGACAGCTACATGTTAAATGTAAATGTCTTCTGGTTAATAAGGCACTCAAACTAAAACATCCATCTCAAAAGTTGTTGTTTGATATATATATAATAGTCCATCCTCAGCTAGTTTAGGGCTATACCAAATTAATGTTTTAGTTAGTTAGATAATTCTGACATCTTTTTCCCTGTTTATTAGAAAAATCTCAGATCTCACAGTAACAGTTTATTTAAGCCCAAGGTGACATATTGAGATGTCTTGTACAATCAGCAGTCCAAAAGCCAAACGTATTCAGCTTACTATCACAAAGTAAAGAAAAAGAGCAAATTTAGAAGCTTGAACTTGTGAATGTTTGGTGTTTTTGCTTGAAAAATGACTTGATTATTAAAATGGTTGCTGATCATTTTTCTTTTGATCGACGAATAGACTAATAATTCCAGCTCTTGTATGGATGGTAAGATTTACCGTTTCGCATCAGTACGCCAGCGTTAAAGCTAAAGATGCGATTGCCTTGATTAAAAAAGTGTGCATCGGAGACAATTTGGGGTGTATTTATATATAATTATTATTATTTTTTTATTTTTATTATTATTATTATTATTATTATTATTATTATTTTAAATGTGACCAAAAAATTATATTTTGATTGATACCATCTATACTGTAATGAATTGCATAGGATCATATTCTTTTGCATCATATTGCGTTGAATGAAACTGTGTTGAATTGCACTAAAACCCAATAGGGGAGGACTGTATCATATCCCATTGGTAGTTCCTTTATATGTATCTTGTATTTGATCATTGGCAGTGCATCAAGATATGTATCTCACTGACAACCACAGGCACTATGGAATTACTTTGACAGTTGCAGCTTCAGCAATCTATCAAAAAGGCCCCAGGGATCTGGTCTGTGCATGTTCTCAGTGAGGTCTTTCACCCAGCTTTGGGATGTACTGGACAATATGTGGCTTGTGTCCATTACAATAATAGACCTCAGAGAGAGATATTAAACTGTCAATATGGTCGTCCACTTACCAGAGGGCTCATTTGTGAAGCTGTATGTGGCACTTGGCATTGTGGGCAGTGGAGGTGGCAATGCTTTGGGATTCTGGTCATTCTGTATCTCGTTGGTCATGGGGTTGTTGGTGTGGCGGGTGTAGGTTGGTGGATGGTAGGGTCTGTAGCCTCCAGGAGACAGTGCAGGCCTCTGCAGAGTGGGCTGGGGGATCATAGGAGGTTGTGGACGGACAGGACGGCTCCTCTCCTGCACCACACCGAACGAGTATCCTCCCCGCTTGCAGTGCTCCTCCAGCTGCACCAGGAGAGCGCTCTGGTTGCTCGCGAGGGCTGACAGATGCTGGTACTTATGTTCCAGGTCGCGGTAGCGTCCAGCGAGCCTCCCCATCTCGTTTGTGTGGTTGAGCACGCGGGTCTCCAGCTGCGACACCTCTAGAGCGTTGTCTCGTTTGCGAATAATCTCATGCAGCAGCTGCATGTAGAGCTGTGTCACTCTGGAGTTCATGTTGCGGCTCTCTTTGCGCAGTAGCTTGACTTCATTGACCACACCACCATCCACTTCTACCAACTGCTGGAGCGCTTCGATCTGCCGTCGGTGCTTCTGCAGCTCGCTGTTGAGCAGCTCCAGCTCCTGCTTATTGACACGATTTTCCAGCAGGGCATCGGGCTCCTTGGAGTTCACACAGATGGCCCCGTTGTTTTTCTGCTGGGGGACAATAAAGGTATAGGAACATTTGTCTGTTTGGACAGCACTGTGGTCGACCACAGCACGTTTTTGCCGGTTTGGTGCATAGATAAACTCTCTTTCAAGTATGTCATCACTGTTCCCGATTTCCTGAGTGTCTCCCTGGAGAGAGGACCTTGGTCCAGAGAGCAGCAAGAGCACCAGCAAAACCACCACAGGGAGAAACATAGCACAGTCCTGCTGCACCCGAACCAAGAGGATTTCTGGAACAGAGGGAGAGAAATTCTGTAAATGTCCATTCTCTCACATCATTCACTGAAGTCTTACTGACTGCTACTTGATCCTCATCCCAGATACTGCATTTTGCATATTGCGTTATGAATGTGCTTTCCCACAATCTTCAATTCCTTAAAGTTGCTTAAATTTGTATTCATTTATTTATTTTTGGCCACATGGGGGTAGCAGAACATGCTGAAAATACAAAGTTGACTTGGCAAAACACATCCAGCAGTTATGGAGCAACTTGATGTGGAGTTTGTGTCCCTCTGATTATTGTGAGTCATCTCTTCTTTAGCTCTCGTTTTGATCTTTACCAACTCCTGAGGGAAATATTTCTTTGTCTGCTGTTTGGTGCTGGGCAGGTGGAAGACAGTGGGTTTTTCTCTCTGAACAGTATATACATTAATAACTGCCAAATTCGATTGCTCTGTACTATGTTTTTAACTCATTCAAGATGAGAAATGAACAATAGACACCTACAAATTAAAATGTAATGCTCAAATTGGCCTTTTACTAAACACATGACTTAGGCTCGCTCAAGCTAATTTGTTCCCCGTTTCCAGTCTTGGCTCAACCCTCGTATAATGGCGCACAGTGTTTTGATGTTGATTCTCTTGGTCTTGGGCTAAAATGCTATCATAGCATTGGAATGTTCAATAACACAAAACACAAAGGGGAATCTCCCCTGACAATATCAGTGTTATCTTCGGTTGTTGGAGATGGTAGTTACTACATCATATTGCGTCCTGCCAACTCCTGCTCAGCCAGGCCAGTTCAGACACTGTGAGTGGACTTCATCCATTTTCCCAGAATACAGCAGGGGCTGTAAATGTCTCACTGAGGGGTTTTCAAGTTGAAAGACTGCGAGTCAAATTCATTACTGGACCATAAGTGAGTTCAGCATGCGAGCAGTAATACTTTTATTTACGGTGTTCATATTTCTGGCATTTGTAGTTTTTGCTCTTGGTCCATGATCTGGTCTGGTCTGGTCTGCATTGACGCTGCAATCCATTTCTCTTTTCAAATGCGGGACTTTTCCTGGAACCTGGGAACTTTATAAGGGAACGTATGTTCAGTCTTATCCCCTCATCTACAGGTAGTAGTTTTAACAAACTCTGTGTTTCTGACTGATGAAGCACACATCCAGAAAAAAATAAATCATAACATCTTTGTTAGTTTGTAGAAATATTTTGAGGATAAACATTAGTGGTCGACCAATATGTGTTTTTCAATGGCAGATGTAGAGAGCAGGGCGACCGATCGCCGATATATAATGCCAATATCAAAACAAAGGAAAGTCATGTTTAATTCCATTATTTCATGCACATTTACATTCTAATATACATGGTTAACTGAGCCAGCAACATGTTGTTTTAGAAAATTACACAATCAGCCATAACATTGTGAGCACCTGGGCCACCAAACTGTGATGCATTGTGTGTTCTGACACCTTTCTATCAGAACCAGCATGAACTGTTTCAGCAGTTTGAGCTACAGTTAGAGCTGCAGCTTTAGGGATGCTCTGACCCAGTTGTCTAGCCATCACAATGTGGCCCTTGTCAAAGTCGCTCAAATCCTCACACTGCCCATTTTTCCTGCTTCTAACACATCAACTTTCAGGACAAAATGTTCACTTGCTGCCTGATATATCCCACCCACTGACAGGAGCCATGATAACCAGATAATCAGTGTTATTCACTTCACCTGTCAGTGCTCACAATGTTATGGCTGATCAGTGTAAGATTAAAATTACTTTGTATGCAACAATAATAAGAAAACAGAAAATATTAATGTTAATCGAAGTATTATTCTGGACACCTTTATACTTAATGTACTATTAAAAAACATGTAACACAGAGGCTCATAATACAAGAGCATATACAAAAACATTAGATGATAGGCATTGGTTGTAATATGGACTATATTTTTCTGCTTCATTTAAATTGTATAGTGGCAAATTTATAATAAGGTTTTAAAATTCCAGCAGCAAAGGTATTAAAATTCTCGCTTTTTGGCAGTGTTGGTGCTGAGAGGCAACATGTGATTGTGCATTTTTGGATGCTGTTGGTGATTGAGTGTAGAAAACATGGATTTAAAGGCGTGTCGAATGCTGCTGGTTTGTGCTTCCCCGAGAGATCATTAGACACTGATCTGTCTGGCTTCAAAATAATTCTGTTTTCAGTTTTTGGTTGGCCAGTATTCCCTCTGCCATTTAACACATTCAACTTGTGTAACATTTACATTGTAAAGTTGTGGAAATGGAAACTGGCTGAACGTGACAGGAAGCTCTCACTCCTGAAAGAAATTATTGTAGGAGGTGTAAACGACATCGAAGCTATTCCAAGCCTCTCTGTGTTCGGATGCGTCTCAGAGACTGAGCTTGTTATTTTCATAAGGCCTGTGTTGAGCTGCAGTGTTGTAAATGCATGTAGTTCATGTTTTATAGGCCAGCTGTAGTAGAATCTGAAGATTTTTCTCCCAGCCTGTTTCCATTTCATTTCTAAGCTCTGCCTTCTGCTAACATTAGATAACCTTAAAATGTGACACTATATATGTCACCTTTATCTTTGAACCATCTTCAAAATGTGATTGCCTCTTTAACATAGCACATAGCATATCTAAGTACAGGAAAGGAGGAAGATGACAGAGGTTACAAAAGGGGCGGGACTTAGGAAGTGTCCATTGTCATACCAGTGTGTGTATAGCAAAATGAACTGAATTTGTTATGTGTGCGGTGACAAAACAGGACAGCTGTCTGTGCCCTGTGAGTGCCCTTCCAGTTTTAGTAATGTTTTAGCAGCCAGCAGTCTACCAAGTCTACCATGTCTACCATGCAAAAGTTTTACTCATACATGTGTTTTTCTGCATGTAATACCAGTGTGCCACACAACAAAAAACTTTGGATGCATGTTTTCTTGTTTTCATGAAATGTTTTAAATGCAGTTTGAAGAGTACTGCAGTATTTTATCTGTCACTGTGCTGTAATGAAGATGAATTATTCATTTCCTGCTCTGTGCTGAACATGACATTGATCCAGTCTGGCCCCAGAGCACCTCAACAGGAAGACATCACAGTCCAACAAACAATTACACACAACACAAAATCGTTACAGTGTGCTTATACTCAAAAACACTAAAAGTCAACTTGACAGTGAAGCTGACGTCAGAGTGTGCACACACACACACACACACACACACACACACACAAACTGCAGGTCTCTGTAGAGATGATCGTGAAGCCTGTCTGTAGCTGCAGTGTGTTGGGGCATCTGTTAGGTCTCTGCTCACTGGGAAATACAGCGTGGACCCCATAAAATCAGGGCAGACCTAGATCACCATCTGTCAGGCAAACTTATAAAAGGTGTCAGCAGACACATACCCGACCACACAGAGCACAAACACAGCCCTCTGTGCTGGACGTCAGAATCATTCAGTGGCAACAAAAGTGATGGATGAATTTGTCACACATGCTTTATCCTTCCTCGTCTCCCGCTTCTCTCTTTCTATCTTTGTCACTGTGTCTGTTTCTGGCACTCATTCATTCTCTCTCACATGCGCACGCACACAGCAGGAACAGTTGCTGGTGGCTGCAAGTCGTCTGCACTGCAAACGCACGTCGGCGTCTGGACACAAAGGCATGACAGGCCTGTGGAGCTCTTAAAACCACAGGGGGGAGAGGGAGAAGAGACACCTGGCTCTCCTCAGTCAGCAGGTCTGGTTTGGCTGACTAATGACCAACTTAAAGAACTGAAATATCTCAGATTATAAGAGTACATTTTCAGTCCCTGTGTTTACCTGAAGGTGGAAGGACTGCAGCCGGAGAGCTGTCCTTTCTCTAGTCTCTGGCTAATATCTTCCCACTCTGCTCTTGCTGCTTGATGGTTCAGTAGTTACAGGTTTATTCAGTCTTTAATTTGTGGTGAGTTGCACTTTAGAAGTCATAACATCAGCATGCTCCTGACTGTAACACAGTTTGATTCTTAACACAGTCGCCAAAATAAACTGTCAGCTAACTGGCCTCACTGTGAGAAAGAGCTATATTTATTAATATATTCCATTTCTGACAGTAGATTCTCCTAAATGTTACACACTGGGACATTTTAAGGAGTTATTGACCTATAGTAGCACTATGAAACAGTTTTTTACTTGTTGGTCCACTTTTCGTCTCATGCACATACACGAGGATGCTCACACAGGTTCTGCAATATACAGCGACTCAATACCTGTAGTAGGAAACACAGCAATTGAATAATGCCTTTTTAGGATTTTAATGTGGAAATGATACTTGTTTTGTTTGTTGGCTCAGAGGCAGAGCAGGTCGTCCATTAATCGGACGGTTGTTGGTTCGATCCCTGGCTCCTTCTGCCACATGTCAAAGTACCCTTGAGCAAGATACAGATTGCATCCGTGTGTGAATGTTTATGAATGAGTTAGTCTCTGTTTGATGGGCTGCCATCACTGTGTGAATGTGTGTGAAAGGGCGAATGTGGCATATAGTCTGAAGACTAGAAAGGTGCTATACTGGTCCATTTACCATTTACATACTTCATTGTTCCAAGCGCACTATTTCTTTCTGTGTCTCGATACATGTCTGGAGGGGATCTTTACAAAATGTACGTTTTTTCATCATACACAATCATTATTGCAAATGTGTTAGCAAACACTTGCAGACACAGAGCAACATTAGCATTCATTTGGAGCGTTCTTGTTTAGGTCCACCTGATGAATCCCATGTTCAGTCTCTTTTTGGTCTGATTTTGGTCTCCACCAACTGCTGATAAAATGATCTGTTTCTTTAGCTGCTAAATGCTCCCCTTTGTTCACCAACTAGTCTCTAACTGAGTCTGCTGTTTGACTGGATGATGACTAACAAGTACAGTCATGTTGTGGGGTGTAAACTAAAGCACTGAGCTACAAAATGCTTAAAATGCTCCTTAGAGCTGAGGGTAACTTTGCGATTATTCTTTGTGGGATGGCATTACTATGAGCCACACCTTTCAAATTACCCATGGTTAATATGAAAATACTGATTAGTGCAGCTTTAAAGACCTTGATATATAGTGGATAGAATATTTTACAGTGTAAAAATTAACTTGTCTGTGCTCTCTGTAATGGAGAGACTGTTTCTAAATGACATATTTTTTGTAACATTTCTTGTTACTTATCGGCTGACATACACGCCCATATAAGCATATCTGTGACAAGTTGATGATGTGTTGGTGGGGCTGACCAGCAGTTAAAGCTCCTCAAAGATCAGTCCAATTTGGATTATTCATGCTGTTCATATCCCTCAGTAAAAAAAGGGTGGGACAAGTGGAATTCCTAATTTTTCACAAATACAAATGTCCTCAAATAACCCATTCAGCGAGCAGTGGACATCTCTAGAACATATTCAACTGAGGCCCAGTTGCACCACCATTAGTTTTGTCACACAGTGACAATATGATAAAATAGTGAGCTTCGGTTTACTACACTGTGAAAGTGTCAGCAAAAAAAACCAGACTACTGTTTTGTAATATTAAGTTCAATTTAAATTACAACTAAATAGTTTTTTTTTGCTGATTCAGCTAATCTGTATTTCAGATTACTGAAATTAAATTCAGACTGCAACTTGTTTGACAGAGTTGCTATTTTCAGTCATGCTTTTTACCAGTATTTACCTAATAATTATAGTTTTAGCTGCACTGCAAGTATCACTCAAACCAGGATCAGTGCTAATACATAATAATACATTATATATAATCACATAATCTTTGGCTGAAAGAAAGAGTTAGGGGGAGTGGTTTTAGTGGTGTGCACTGTTAATAAGTCATGTACAAAACAAAATACAGAACAAGCCTCATTGTGTCTGCAAATTAGAAAAAACATGATATGCACACTGGGAAGTATTCTAATGAACTAACAATGTCCCCAAACAACTTAACCTGATGAGTAAAGTGTATGATCAGTCAAACCATGCACTGTGTAACTTCTGACAAGGTTTTGAAAGTAACTAGATGACTTACATTGGCTTGAAATTGACTGATTACATAGAGTTAATTAGAAAAGATGAGTTGATTTATTTGAATTGATCATGAGACTTTACAGTGTAAAACTCTGAATGAGTTTTGAACAGAAGTGGGGCTCCCTGTGGAACCAGCTTAACAACTGGCTGCACAAAAACACTTGCACAAAATGCAAATGTAAGTGGAGTCTTGACCAGTAAAATAGTCACTGATGTGAGGACTCTATGTTTAACCGATTATGCCGCAGTGAGACACTGAAAGCTCATTCAGAACAAAGTCCTGCTATGCAAAAAAATAAAGCTGCACAGTTGAAGTATTTTCGAAATTGTACGAAGGAAAAAAATGAAGAATAAAAAATGTGTAAAGGTGAAATATGTGACAAAACAGCATTATAATTAAGTGCTGCAGGGATGCCCTGGCCTACAAATCTTGTTCTCTAGATATAAAAAAACCCAAATGTCACATGATGATAGTTTTTTTCAGTGAAAATCAAAGTTGTGATGCAAGAATGATCATTCCCACTAACCGTTTTTTTTTAGCAGCTCTACAGCTTTGCTGAACCCCAAAGAATTTTAACTTTAACAAGCGGAAAAGCTGCAGATGCACATAATATTTCAAGCTAGAACAATATTTCTTAAATATCTAATTCAGTGTAATCATATAGCTTAAAGAGTTAGAATACAGAATATACTGTATATCATACTGATATAGTGGATTAAGTGTTTTTTAACATCCTTAAAACTACTTAAAGAGGAGCAAAGGGAAGGGTGAAACAGAGAACACTGACAGTGTTAAGTGTGTTGCAGAAAAAATGGTCAGGTCAGATATTTGCCCCACTCACCACTTGTCTCTGTTTCCTTATATCCCTTGGCTTTCTGGCAAGTTTGACTCCAAGTCCTCACCAGTCAGTCCACATTTCCTCTGTGTTTGTCCGTTATTCTGTCAGTGCATTCATTTCCTTCACCTGCAGCTGTCAGAATCAATCCTCCATAAGGAAAATGTTCCAGCTGCGATGAGGTCTTTAACAGTCCCCAAGAGTCCAATCAAGCAGCGGCAACAAACAGCCAAAGCTTTCCTGTTGTAACTTCATTCATCTGCAGCGAAAGATTTTTCCACCTTTTGTGAAGTGGTGAGTCCTGAACCGAGAGCTCACGCCTGCTCCTCAGATAGATCTGTTTCTCTTCCTCCCAGAGACTCGACCTCCCGCTGTCTTCCTTCCATTACAACTGAGACACTTATTGTTGCTTGAAGTAATTAAGCTGTGAGCCACAGTGACGCCCCTCCCTTTCTCCCTCCCCTTGACAACATGGAGATCATGGAGGCATTAGATGGAGGATCCCAGTCCCCCCACCTAAACCCTTGTCCCCTGCAGTCCCCCCTGCCCCCCCTGCATCTCTCAGTCCTCCTTTTTTTCCACTGCTCTCCTACAGCCAGTCCAGGACTCCCTCTATGGAGAAGACCAGCCACACACACATGTGTTGCAGTAAGGTCACAGGTTTGAGTCAATTCAGGCTGGGGAACCAAAGTCTCCCCCCTTTTTGCTCTGTGCCCCAATGAGCAAGCCTTGGTTAGAACCTCGGTCGTCTTTCTCCGTTCCTCTACTGCTATGTGCTAGGCTAATCTATGTTGAGAAAACACACACATTTTGAAGATGATTAAAAGTGACACACATATATAGTCACTTCTTAAGTTAGCTAGCTAATGTTAGCGGAATGCTAACTAACTAGCTAGCTAATCTACATCAATCGTTAGCTAGCTAGTTAGCTAGCATTTTGCTGTTGGTGCCCGATCCGTACATCCCACCTGATCAGTACTGCATGTGTGCAAGCTAAGGAAACAAGATGGCTGACTTGTTATCTAGCCTAATTCAATTACCAAAACAAAGCTTTACATGCATGATTTTATTTTTTAATTTAAAAATGTCTTTCTACTTCTGAGTATTAGCTGAAGTAGCATTAAGTAACATAATAATAATTAAATCATTAAACCATGGTGCCACTTTTGCTAACATTAGCTAAGTTATCTGAAAACTGTTTGTTGCCACTAGATATATGTCTCACACATGTGTATCTGTGATATACATATAAGTCAGCATTTAATATAACTCATTAGACTGCATCCAGAAGACGTTTTTTAATCTTAATCAGTAACATTCTGAATCAAACACGGAGCAGATGATTAGTACTAGTAGGTATGGATCAAGTACTGACGAGCAAAACACTAGCTAACTAATCTCCATCAATTGTTAACTAACGTTAGCTAGTTACAAAGTTAATAATGGGAAAATGCAAGCCAGCTAGCTAATTTAGCTAGTTAGCTGGTATTTTGCTAACATTAGGTAGTTAACTTAAGATGTGTCACTTTTATCTTTTAACCATCTTCAAAATGTGGCTTTCTTTTCAACATAGACTAGTCCAGCACATAGCATATCTAAGTACAGGACATGGCAAAAAGGGGCGGGGCTTATGATGGGTTGATTTGGGTATTTTCCGTCTCTCACTTACTGACTATGTAAGCTGAGATGTTTATCTGTGAAAGCAGGCAGAGACTGTCCATTCAGACAATTTGCCAAAAGCAGAGGTGGAAGAGTTTATACAGTCTGTTATGTTGTCATAGTAATTACTGGTTACATAACACCTGACAAACACATTCAACAAATAGTCAGTGACTCATTGTATTTGTTTTTAATTGCACATGATGCTCACAAACCCGTGGTGATGTATGATAAGCTTTCATCCACGGATTTAAAAAACTGCCCTTTGTCTCGGAGAGGTTAGATGGGCGAGTAAGATGGTTATCCTCTGAGACATTTGGAGAAACTCTACTCTGTGGAAGAGAAGCTCATGTTGATTTGTGCTTTTATTTCAGTTCCAAAAGCTTTCACAGGGAAATTTTCAGATGGTTTAACGTCACTCTTGTAGCTTCAAATGAGCCGTATTCCAATCAGAAAAGTGGCAGGTCTGTTTGAAATACTGGGGAGAATTATAAGTAAGAAGTTAGTGCAGTATCTGGCTCTGGTCTTTATGCTGGAGAGTATCATTCACACACTTCTCATTACAACGCAAAAGTCAACATCATATTTGACAAAAACAACAAAGAACCTAACAGGCTCAACAGTGCAATAACAACATTATCGCCAATTCAAATCCCTAAAGGAAATATTATGATACTCATGTGCCACCATGCAAAGCTGAAACATGCCTCAGAGCACATTCATGCAGCGGAGCGTGCAACCAGAACCATGATTCCTCTTTACTTTGTTATGATTCTTCCTGTTATGTGTGTTTTATCAAAGAAAAATTCTTTGGGCTTCTTGTCATGGCTTTTGTACGTCATGCCATCCCGTGTCTGTTCCTTTCTTTACTTCATAAAGGAGGACATGCCCCAGCCTGTGACCACTCTCCACGCTCTCTTCCTGCACACAGTCTGCTCTGATGGCTCTGATAATGACTTACAGTGAAGCTACGACTGCTTGGAAGAAGGTAGTCAGGAAAAAGCAGCGGGCTGTGAACGGTCTTTCCTACTGCAGCCCAGAGATAACTCCAACTTACTGCTAGTTCGTGAAAGCTTTTTACTTTGACTGTTCTAATCAGGTAGTGTTTGGTTAGTCTTAAAAGAGAACAGAAGTGATGCTTTTCACATTTCTGCAGGGTTAGTATGAGTCGAGATAACAGACCATCATGAGATTATCCAATAGATCAGTGTTCCCCAACCTTCCTTAAGGGAACCCTTTTCTATCATTGAGCAAACTGAATGACATATTTTATGGATATTTCATATTATATTTAGGAATGATCGATATTGGCTTTTCTGCCGGTATCCGATATTCCGATATTGTCCAACTCTCAGTTTCCGATACCGATATCACCCGATACCGATATATGCAGGCTTTTTACACCAAAACTGTTAGGTAACAACATAAAATATCTCCTATTGTGGAATGAACACATTATGCCTAATTTTATTGTGATGCCCCACTGGATGCATACATAAATGCAACATGGCTTTTCCAAATGTAAACACTGTCTGTGCAAAATAAGAGAACAACTTCAACTTTCATTGTATTAATACTGAAAGAGCGCTAACGCTAATCGCTAGCTACGCACTAATCGCTAGCTATGTGCTAATCGCTACCTAAGCGCTATATGTGTTTAATTGTAAATTCTAAGCCAATTGTTAGTTTGGTTAAGGAACAGCTCATAGCAGGGTAAAATATTGAAGGTGCATTGTGCTTATTTTGTGTTAATATTAAAATAATTCAGCTTTAAATTTATTGCTTGTTAGCCACGGTTAGCAACCAATCAGTCTAGCGTGTAGTTGTTGTTGTTATACGTCATCTAGCGCACGCCAGTAAACATCCCATGCTGCATTCATGCAGGCTCGGAAATGCTGAAGCCTACAGAACAAACATCGGTTATAAAAATCTGATACCGATAATTCCCGATATTACATTTTTTAGTGAATATCGGAGGGCCGATATTATCGGACATCCCTAATTATATTCAATTATAACAATAACAGCAGAGAACCACTGATGAACTGTACAATGAACCCAAACAGTGAACACAATAACTGCAGGAAGTTTGTGTAAAACCAGAGATTTGGATGAATTTTTTAGCAGATTATTTCCTGTGAATATTGATCAGAGATGAGTTTTCCTGAAATTTTTTTAGGAACTCTTCATCGTTTTCTCTGTCTGTGTTATGTATTTAAATTGTTTTGAATAGTTATACATACCTAATAGGTTACTTTTCTTGACACATTTCTTAGAATCAAGAAGGCCTTGCTTTGGTGGGGTTCCTAAAATTTGGTTTCATTATTCTAATCATTACATTAAAAAGCTGTCTCACAAGTGGTGTTTATCTACTGAGGGAGTGGATCCTCTTCTACGGAGGCCGTCATGTTGAACCACCATGTTTCTACAGTAGCCCAGAACGGACAAACCAAACCATGGCTCTGGATAGGGCCTTTCACGTTTCTCTTAAGTTTCAGGGCCACCACAGTTTCTCCTCCATGCTTATAAGGAGAGTGGTGTCTTTTTAAATAAATTACATTGCTAAGGAATAGCTCATGAAATATGCATATTTTATAAAAGCACATGACGCAGCATAAAGTTAAGCATGTGTTATGTGTATGTGTGTGTATAGTATATATTCTTAATTCAGAATCCATCCAGAACAGGCACTGATATTAGCTGCTTGGTTACCATGATGGCCATGTCACTTGCAATCGTATGCCTGGCTGCCAAAACTCATCTCATTGTCAATCGCAAAAGCATTCTTGTTTTTCTGTTTGTCTCGGTCTCTCATTAGGACTCATTTTAGACCTCTTAAGACTCTGATTTGACTTGAACTCAAACTTCTTTGGACTCGGTCTTGACTAGTCCTGGTCAAGGACTTGTCTTCGACACAAAGCAGGTCTTGAATACAGCACTGGTATCGATTGTATGAGTCATACGCTATATGTAGCAAAAGCTATTTTTAAGTAACAGATGTGAAAAAAAGCACTAAACAATATAAATAATTAAAGACAATATAGTGTGATTTCCGCAATTCAATTCAGTCACACATCTACCAGATTATCACATGAAGAGACAATAAATATTTGTTTGTGTGTTTAAGGAGCTTCATCCATTGTAAAACAGTATTCAATCCTGAATGACAGCTGACCACAAGCACTGCGTGTTGACAGAATGGTCTGAACAGTGTAATGAGCTGGTAGATGCCTTGCGACTGGGCTTTGCTGTGCGTCATAGAAGCATGGAAACAGGAAGCGCAGCTACACGGCTCTGTAGACTGAGCACAGCTGAAACGCATTATACCTCACACTCGTGTGTCTATCAGGGTGACATCATCGGCAAATATTTGCTAAGCATTTTGTGTTGTGTTATGCAGATGTAATATTTTGGCAGGAGCTGCCAGCACAGCTGATATCATGGACAGCCAGTATATCTCAATGGGATTTGGGTGTAGCATGGAGAAAAATGCAACACACAGTGAAAGCCTGGAGTTGGGAACAGATTTGTAGTTTCAAGCTGTCTTCTTTTATATGTGAAAAGAAAACTTTTATTGATTGTCTTCTTGAGGTGAATTACAGTTATTTTGTCCTGTCAGCATCTCTACAACTAGACATAAAATAAGCAACATTTTCAGTGTATTGTTTATTCCATTCAACACTGATATTATGAGATGTAATGAACATTGTGGTCATAGGCCAGTGAGCCAGTAGTGAGGCTTCAGACTTGTAGTCTTGCTTCTTTCATCATTACAGGCGCAG